AATTCTCCTGCCTCAGCCTCCTGAGTAGCTGGGATTACAGGCACGCGCCACCATGCCCAGCTAATTTTTTTTTTTTTGTAGTTTTATAGAGACGGGGTTTCACCATGTTGACCAGGATGGTCTCGATCTCTTGACCTCGTGATCCACCCGCCTCGGCCTCCCAAAGTGCTGGGATTACAGGCTTGAGCCACCGCGCCCGGCTTCTCTTCTTTTCTTTTTGAGACAGTCTCACTCTGTGGCCCAAGCTGGAGTGCAATGGTCTGATCTTGGCTCACTGCAACCTCTGCCTCCTGGGTTCAAGTGATTCTCCTGCCTCAGCCTCCCGAATGCTGGGACTACAGGCTAGTGCCACCACACCCAACTAATTTTTGTATTTTTAATAGAAACGGGGCTTCACCATGTTGGCCAGGCTGGTCTTGAACTCCTGACCTCAGGTGTTCTGCCTGCCTCAGCTTCCCGAAGTGGTGGGATTACAGGCATGAACCACCTCACCTGGCCTTTTGGCTTCTTTTCTTTTTCTTTTTTTCTTTCTTTTTTTTTTTTTGTCTGAGACAGCCTCTCTTTCTTGCCCAGACTGGAGTGCAGTGGTAAGATCTCAGCTCACTGCAACTGCTGCCTTCCAGATTCCGGCGATCTTCCCACTTCAGCCTCCTGAGTAGCTAGGACTGCAGGCCATCATGGCTGGCTGATTACTGTAATTTTTTTTTTTTAGACAGAGTCTTGCTCTGTCGCCAGGCTGGAGTGCAGTGGTGCAATCTTGGCTCACTGCAACCTCCGCCTCCTGGGTTCAAGCGATTCTTCCCGCCGCAGCCTCCCAAGTAGCTGGGACCACAGGTGCCTGCTACTACACCCGGCTAATTTTTATTTATTTATTTATTTTTTAGTAGAGACGGTGTTTCACCATGGCCGGGATGGTCTCGATCTCTTGACCTCATGATCCACCCGCCTCGGCCTCCCAAAGTGCCGGGATTACAGGTGTGAGTCACCGCACCCAGCCTATTATTTTTTCTTTAGACAGAGTCTTATTCTGTCCTGGGCTGGAGTACAGCAGTGCCATCTCAGCTCACTGCAACCTCACCTCCGAGGTTCAAGTGATTCTCCTGCCTCAGCACCCCAAGTAGCTGGGATTACAGGTGCACCCCACTACCCCTGGCTAATTTTTTTTTTTTGTATTTTTAGTAAGGACGGGGTTTCACAATGTTGGCCATGCTGGTCTCAACCTCCTGACCTCATGATCCACCTGCCTCAGCCTCCCAAAGTGCTGGGATTACAGGCATGAACCACCGTACCCAGCCGATTACTGTAATTTTAATGTGAGAAATATTGTTTAGATCTGGCAATAGGAACATGAGTATATCTGCTGATTCTTTTTTTCTCTATATATATATTCTGAGAAACTTTTCCAGTAATGAACTACGGAAATGATCCCTAAAAGTATAATCAGTGAATTCTGTTGGTGACAAAAGCACACAATACTGCAGATACTATGACGGTTGGCTGCCTATATTAATAATCAGTGGATAGCCAGGCGCAGTGGCAAGCACCTGCCATCCCAGCTACTCGGGAGGCTGAGGCAGGAGAATTGCTTGAATCGGGGGGGCAGAGGTTGCAGTGAGCCAAGATCGTGACACTGCACTCCAGCATGGGTGACAGAGTGAGACTACATCTCAAAAAAAAAAAAACAAAAAACCAGTGGAAGTGCTTTTAGTGCTCAATTGAAAATCAAAGATGCACAGCTAGGCATGATGCCTCAGGCCTGTAATTCCAGCACTTTGGGAGGCCGAGGTGGGTGGATCATTTGAGGTCAGGAGTTTCAGACCAGCCTGGCCAACATGGTGAAACCCCACTTCTACTAAAAATACAAAAAATTGGCTGGGCGTAGTGGCTCATGCCTATAATCCCAGCACTTTGGGAGGCCAAGGTGGGTGGATCACGAGGTCAAGAGATCGAGACCATCCTGGCCAACATGATGAAACCCCGTCTCTACTAAAAATACAAAAATTAGCTGGGCGAGGTGGCACAGGCCTCTGGTTCCAGCTACTCGGGAGGCCAAGGTGGAAGAATCACTTGAACCCAAGAGGCGGAGGCTGCAGTGAGCTGAGATTGCACCACTGCACTCCAGCCTGGCAAAGAGCAAGACTCTGTCTCAAAAAAAAACAAAAACAAAAAATTAGCTGGGCATGGTGGTACATACCTATAGTCCCAGCTACTGGGAAGGCTAAGGCAGGAGAATCATTTGAACCTGGGAGGTGGAGGTTTCAGTGAGCTGAGATTGTGCCACTGCACTCCAGCCTGGTGACAGAGCAAGACTGTGTCTTGAAAAAAAAAAAAAAAAAAAGAAAAGAAAAATGCAATTTTTCCATACTTGGGGTTATGGGCACCTTGAATTCTATCTATGGACCCTTGTGGGGATCCATGGTCTCTAGATTTAAAAACTCTGCTCCAATGCATTCTACTGATGGTATCTAGAGATAATTTTTTTTTTTTTTTTAATTTCGGAGACAGGTTCTTGCTCTGTCACCCAAGCTGGAGTGCAATGGTGTGATCATGGCTCACTGCAATTTCAACTTCCTGGGCTTAGGCAATCCTCCCACCTCAACCTCTTGCTAGGACTTCAGGTGCTTGCCACCATCCCTAGCTAATTCTTTTAATTTTTAGTAGAGATGAGAGGTCTTGCTGTGTTGCTCAGCCCGGTCTCGAACTCCTGAGCTCAAGTAATCCTCCAGCCTTAGCCTCCCAAAGTGCTAGGATTACAGTTGTGAGCCACTGTGCCAGGCTACAGATACCTTGACATCTCGGTTTCCTCAGCTCTTGGGGAAAAATACCTACATCTTAGAGTTATGAGAAGTAAAACAAAAAGCTTATAAATGTGCTTGGGATACTGATCAATACAAACCAGATTCTCATGTAATCATTAACAAAAACTTGTTTCCCATTAGGAGATATACTATAGTTTAGCTTAGTTAGTTCCCAGTAATTAAGTAGTTTCCCAGAACAAAAAAAAAATTATAAAAAAAAAGTAAAAAAGGCCAGGCGTGGTGACTCATGCCTGTAATCCAAGCACTTTGGAGGCCAAGGCGGGCGGATCACCTGAGGTTGGGAGTTCAAGACCAGCCTGACCAACATGGTGAAACCCCGTCTTGAGAAAGAAAAAAAAAATATGAAAAAAAAAAGTAGTTTCCCTTGAGAGGTGGGAAAGTGGGTGTGACGAATACAATGTAAGGCGACTGATGGTTCTCTAGGTTTTCTAACACCTCTTCATAACTATGTTCCCATCGTATCTAAATGTGGCATTATTCCTTTTTTTTTTTTTTTTTTTTTTTTTTTTTTTT